GGTAGCTGGTGACTGAAGCACACATTCATAGTAACTCTGTGTCCAGAGCTATTGCACAAATGTGAATCTAACAGGCAAATAAAACTTTTCACTTTGTGTCTCACTAGGGTGTGGGGCGAAATTGTGAGAATAGTTCCTTTTGTTACAGGGAAGAGTCTGTACAGACAAGTGGGTATCTCATACTCTGTTTAAATTACTGAAGTGGCAGTTATGTCAGACAGAGCTGGCCTTTGCATTCAGGTGGACCAGGGTTCAAATCCCTTCTCTCCCATGTCACTTTCTCTGTGACCTTAGGTAAATAGACTTAACCTGAGAGACTTTGTTTCCTCATCTGAAATCCTATCTCATCAGGTGGTGGTGAGGCAATAAAAAAAAGGATGAGTTTTTCCAGGCATTTGATAAAGATACTCGATCGCTGGACTTCCCTCCAGTTCTGAAGCGTAGACAGCCAGCCTTCAAGCCATGATACTTTCCCGTATCGTGTGAATAAAGTCAGGACCAAGAGAAAATTGGGGATGGCTGTTCTTGCTCCTTTTGGTTGTACTAACTCCAGAGGACATGAGATTTATTCCTTTGGAGAGTAATATCGTGTACACACTCTTTTCTTGGGTGAGAGATTTTTCTTTCAAAAGAACCTAAAATATTCTTGACCTTTTATTCCATCTCCCCTGCAAGGAGTCAGGGTGGGGAGGCTTCCTGTTGGCTGTAGGTGTAAGCATGATGGTGTCGCCTGGGGCAGAAGGGACAAGAAGGACAGGTGTTTGGAGGTGGCTGCTCTGTGGGCACACCCGTCAGGGATTTAGGATGTTCTCATTAATGTTCCAAGGAGTGTTAGGTGTTATTTGTTCCACAGATTTTTTTCACAAGTGACATAATCGGAACATTTCTAATAGGTATAATTAAATTTTGAAAAAAAATTTGTACCCATTATAATTATCGCTTTTGAAGATCTTTTGAAATGATTTCACCTTGACATTTCAGAAGCATTTAGCTTTGTTCTTGATTGGGCCGTAGTAACATTCCTATGTATCACCTTAAGTTAATTATTTGTATCTCTTAAGTATGGTGTAATTGAGAGTTTGTCCGTTTGATTATAGTTTCTAGTGAGTCCTTTTTTTAAAAAATGTGTTTAAAGATTTATTTTACTTATTTATGCATACAAGAACTGGGGTGTAGGCCAGAGTTGCAAATGGGATGCAGTGGGATGATTCACCAGAAGCAAAGTTGGGGACAGAACAGGTGGATCTACTGAAACATACTGCTGAGGGGAGCAGGGGCAAGACAGGAGAGGTCTGTGGTGTCATGTGGGTCAGCTCCCTGGCTGGGGATTGAACCATGCAGCAGTGGCTGGCTACAGCCTTGATAGAACTAAGACTCTAACCCTTGTGCTACCAGTGAGGCCTGTGAGTCTTTTTAAAATTTAATGTTGAATGAGTCTGGATCATTTTTTATTGGTTAGGTGTATTTATTTCTCTTCTTTCACTGGTCTGCCCTTTTCATAAAGTCTGTATGTGGGACAGCAGTACCACCCGGACCAGGATCTCCTCAGGCAGATCCAAGTTAGAAGCAGCTGTTGTGCCTGCCATGTGGGTTGGCTCTTGCTGCCTCCTGCAAGGAAGGGCCTGGGGCTGGCACTGTGATTTCACCCTCTGGGCCCAACGCTGCTTTAGCTTTTGAGCGGTAATTCCAGCCTTAGGCTTCAAGAAAGATTGATTTTCCAACTTTTCTTTTCCTTACATGCTTAGTAGAAGACAGATCTTCCTTAATTTGCCTTTTCACTCTGCTCCCTTCAGCCTATAATTTCTTAGAGCTGTTCTCAAGTTACTTGAGGAAAATTGTGCACCATTTGCTGTTCAGAAATAAGCCTTGTTTTTCTCTAGTTCTAAATCTTTAAACGTTTCCTCTATTACTAAGATAGTATTGTTTTGTTTGTTAGTGAACTTTACAGAATAGTTTTGTAGGTTGACTGGGAACTCTGTCAGCAATGAAATTCAGCAACCCTTTTTTTGTAATAGGAGATACAGGCTGAACACTCCTAGGATTTGTCCCCTCCGTTTGAAAGCAAAAGTTTATACTTTGTATTGGTACCATGAGAAAACATACTATTTTGCTTCTCCCAGGAAAGTGAAGCATAAAAGAAAAACAATGACCCTACTCTCTACTTTACAAATATATTTTGCCTCTGTTTCTACACTCGAGCTACTTTTAAGGACAAAGCTGGCTTCATATTTATCTTTAATTCTCACCTCACAGATGGCGAGGGTTTAAATACATGTACGAGAAACACATAAACATTTGCACATCATCTGTGGGTAGGGACCATGCTAATAATTTTCTCTGTATTGTTTCTGCTGTCACAGCAAACACAGTCTTGGAATTCTTCTGTGCGTCTGTATAAAGAAAGGTCTCTGTAATGAAAGACCTGTGTTGAAGGAAGGATGAAGTCAGCAGTCAGGCTTGTTCTCTTCTGCTGACTCTGAGAAAATCTGCTTCGAGCAGCTCAAGGATAAGTTGTTTTGGTGGACATGATACAGTAATAGACCAGTAAGAAATGGGGCAATCTTGATGCAGCAAATGCTGGGCTCTCATGTGTCCAGAAACTCTGCTAGGCTCTAGAGACTTAGAGAAGGTGGGATCCTGTTCAGGGAGAGGTGGTGAATTCCAGTAGATGCTTTAGAGTGAGGCCTGTATTTGAATCACAATTATCATTTATTAGGTATAGATTCTTGGGAAGGCTCTAACTCTCTGAGCATAACTTTTTCATTTTTGAAAGAGAATCGTAGTGTTTACCTGGAGGGTTGTGCCTTATCAGTTCAGTATCGGTGCATTGTAAGTTGCAGACAGGGCTACCAATAACAGTTCACTGCTTACTGTAGTCAGAGATAGGAGCTCAAGTCATTACAGTGTGAGTAAACAGTTGTTCTGCAGGGTAAGTGTTCGGAAGAGAGGTTTGTATGCTGGGGTTCAGGGGGAATGGAGGAGGGGTCGGTGCCACCCCTACAGGGACTTGTGTTAGAGGCTTTCAGGAGGTTGTTGATTTTATTGCCGCTGCTTAGAATTGAGTCCAGTCCTGAAACCAGCTAAGGTTTAGGTGGTCAGGAAAGGAGGAAGCACTTTCCATTCCAGGATGTAAGAAATCTCCATAAGGACCTCCATACACCTTTTTGGTAAGATTTTGGTTTCCAGTTTGCCAGGTAGAAAAATGCACAAGCTTTGCAGCCTCTGCTAACATAGTGAATGGGAGATAATATGGGAGAGTTGTAAAGTGAGCTTTTAAGAGCAGGGAGTCTTCTAAAATTCTGATGAGGTCTCCAGAGTAAGCACAGAGGCCTTGGGCATGGCAGTGTTTGCCTGTGAGGCCTGGTCATGGTGTCAAGTCCTAAGGAATTCAGTGGGAGCCAAGAATGGTTTCCACCCGGCCCCCTGTGGTGGGATCTGAGCACACTCCTTAGCAACCCACCCACTGGCTTCTCAGTTGCTGCCAAACTCTACTTTCAGCAGGAAATGATTCCATTCCTTTTGGACTCACTGGGATATTAAAGCATAAGAATACCTCTGTGTGCTTTGAGGGGTGCATAAATATCTTCTGGAATGTGATATTGTCCTGATAGTCAGGAAAAAGCAGTCCAGTTTTAATGCTTAGTTGAACCAGAAAATTCAAGATAGGAAGTGTGTATATAGAAGGTTTGTTGATGTTCAACCTAATTGTCAGGAATTATAACAGCAAACTATCAGCAGTCATCTTCATACTTTTATAACTTTGTTTAGCTGTGATGATTTTAATTTTCAAATCCAGCATCTTAGGAGTGTTTCTCTGTCAGAAGGGGAGGTTTTCCCCATTTCTTGAAGATGAGACAGGCTTTGAACTGGCAGATCTGGATTGAACCTAGGTAATCTCTGTCACTTTTCTCACCGGCGTGCTAAAAGCACTGTCAGCCTCTTTTCAAAAAGTTTTTTCTTTCAAGAAAAAAATGTATAGAGTTATTTTGACATTCCCCCACACTTTGGTTCTGTTTCTTTACTTTGAAACTACTCAGAGACTTGTTTGGGTTTAGCAGCTGTGATGATCTCCAGTTTGTAAAAATCGATTAAGAAATTATCAATTACAGAATAATAGGTACTAATTTAAAAGTTTTGGGTGAAATTTTAAAGCGTTGGATATACTATATGAACTCTAACAGGTAATTAATTATGCTGCTATCTAATTGGTTTTCCACCACACTTGGAAAATTTTTCCTGAAAGTTTTGTGGGAAACCTTTCCTGTTAACAAGATCTAGTCTCTAGTGCATGTAATATCCTAGGACAAATTCACTTACACTTAAGAAAGAAATAAGAGGAGGTGGAAAAGAGTAAGAAAAGAGTGATGTGATTATACTGTATGTGCTATTAATAGAGCCATGGAAAATGTACATTAAGGGAGAATAAATAATCTCTTACTAAAGAAGTATGAGGGAAATCTGCTTGAGTTTCCTAACTTCTTCTGTGTTTGTAATAATTTCTATTTTGGTGAATGCATTTGGACAAAACCTGTTTCTTGTGCTAAATTAGTATAACAGTGGTTTTTCAAATAGGATACCCCCGACAGCAGCAAAGGTGTACTCTAGACATTGTTAGAAATGAAAATTCTTTTTAAAAAAAGAAAGAAATGAAAATTCTTGCCCTAACACAGACCTAGCATAGATGAGAATAGTCTTCTATAGCAGTGGAGCATTTACCACCTGATTATGGCACAATGAGAAGCAGGTGATTGGGATGTTTTTCTTCTTTTAGTACATTCTGTACCTGCTAAGCTAACAGTAGCACCCTTATGTGTTAGTTAATTTAATTAGTACTCAGTTAATTTAACAAATGAACATTTAATGAATCAATAAATATTAGATGATAATTTTATTTTTGGCTTCCCTCCACCCCCATTTCTGCTTCCTTTAATCAAATCAAAACAAAACAAAACAAAAAACAGACTAACTAATAATGACATCTCTTGGGGCTGTTTCTGTAGATTAAAAATGTGTCTGCAGGCACACAAGACATGCCTCCTCCCCCATCTGACTGTGTGGAAAGAGTGGACGGTCCTTTTGCATACTCTGTCAACGGCAAAATGAATGACAAGCAGTTGTATCCAGAGTCTTCCTATAAATCAACACCGTAAGTAACATGTTCCTTCCGATAGAATGAGATTATAACAAGGAATTATTTACATGTTTTGAAATTAGTCGCTATTTTGTGTCATACTCCTTTAAAAAAAAATCCAAGTTTTAGGCGAGAAAATAATAATAATAATGAACAGCTATATAGCAGAAACATTTTATGAGAGTGGAGTGGGGAATGGATCAAAAACAGTGGGGGGAGGGAAATGCACTGGACTGTGGCGATGGCACATGGGTGAGTTGGTGATGGGAAGCCCAAGGGGATTACAACTGAGATGGAAAAATGCACAAAATGATGTAAAAATAAACTATTACATTATTTTAAAAAATCCAAGTTTGTATAAAGGCTGGAGACAGACTAATTGATCTTTGTTTTGAGCTGGTGGCCTAGGGCTACTTGGAAGATGGAGTAGGGTGGGTCTGTGAGTTAATCTGGCCTTTTCCCTTCTAAAGTGAAAATGATTCTGTTCTCATGTTGATTTATAATAGAGAAAGGGTAGGTTGGGTTCTTTCACTCAAGGAATGTGGATCTTTATCCTGTTTTCTAGTTTTGAAGTTTAGGTGAGGAGGAAAGGGTGGTATTGATGACAGAGATAGTACAATTCTCAGCTCTCCTTTTGCTTGTAATTATAAGGTTCCACTAGAAGGAAGAAGAGATTACTTGATGATTATCCCCTATCTACATGTTTGTATTTAACAAGAAGACTTCATTTAAATTCAGGAATTCTGAGAAATCCTATGCTGTGCTAAAACCTCTACATTGCTTAGGGAATTGAAACTCAAAGTCCCTCTGTTTTGTCTTATATATAGTTTAAAAAAAAAATGTGAGTTTGCATAGATGAGGTGCCATTATGGTTATAGAAATGTTATCTTCATAATGGTTTTAGTTTGCTAGAAAGCCTAATTCTAATTTAACCTAGTAACTAGTGAGGAAAGTTATGTTAAGGTCACAAATAAGGACTGAAACATAATTTTTTCCTAAAGATGATTAATTGATGCTCCTATATATTATGTATATTTATACACTACGGGGTATAATGGAACTAATGTAGGTGGTATATGTATTACCGCACATGTATTCTAGAACTCCAAATTCCTTTTGTAGATCAGCAAGAAATAAAGTTTTACAGACTTGATTGTCCTAAGTTAAAGGTATATCTACTCAAAGGCTTTTTGTTGCTTCACAGTTTTATCTCCGACTTCATGACCCCATTTAGTGAGCTGGGTTATACAGAGACCCACTCTGAGCAAATAGCAGTTTGGGTCTTGAACTCTGTAAGACAGCACAGCAGCAGAGGTAGTTACAGAAGAGTTTGAAGACAGTAGGGCTTATTATTCCCCTGGCATGGAATTTGGAAGCAGACTGGCAGTCAGCCTCACCCTTCATATATTTTCCTTTGGTCTTCAGAATCCACTTTGCTGTTGATTTCAATTTTGAATGATTTGGAAGAAGAATATTTCCCCTATTCTTTTTGGATTTGGGCAGGATATTCACAGCATTTGAGCTGTTAAGTAAGAAGGCACACAGCAGAGCTGCTTCCATTAGAGAAATAGAAACCTTCTAAAAGTTTAAGCTATGATTTGCTTGACTCTTACACATACAACATAAGTGTCTATATTGTGCTGTGCATTACAGATATGCTTCTAGATTGTAAATTGTATATTCTGTGTGCTATCATTACAGATATGCTTCTAGATTATGTATTCTAGATTGTAAGGCCAGGGTGGCTACAGAGCATTTCCACATTTTGTCCCTTTACCTGCAAATCAAACTATTTCCACAAGTTAATTTGGGAAACTTTAAAAATCTTACTCAGTAAGATTGAGTAGGCCAATATATTCATATATTATAAAATTTGAAAGGGACAAAATCTACCTTTTGTCCCCAGCTACTTGGTTCCTTTCCCTAGAGGCAGCTAGTGTCACCAGTTTTTTTTTTTTTTATTCTTCTAGTCAGCTTGTTTCTAATAAATAGCTTAGCTAAATATGAATATTGATTATTTCCTTTACATAATACTAGCATTCTTAGCAAGCTATCTTGGAGATTGTACATATCTATATACAAAGAGTTTACCAAGAGTTTTATAGTGACATAACAGCCTGTCAAATGGGTAAACTGTAATTTTTTTGTTAATTGCACATGATATATACTTTCTCCAGTGTTTTAGTATGATACATCACCGCAGGGAATCACCTTACACATTTATCCATATATTAATGTACCTGAAGGAAAAATATTAGCTGAATTGCTGGGGCTAACAAAAATTACTAATTTTTTTTCATGAATATAATCAAATTGTACTCCTTAAGAGTTGTACCAACTGATACTCCCAGCCTGTACTGCAAAACGTATGCTACCTGGAAAATGCAAATGTGATCCTTAGTTTTAGACCCCAAAAGAAGGGGAGGAGTGCTAAAACATGCAAATGTGACATTATCTTTCACATTGTCTGACACATATGGTACTAATGGAAGCAATTTTCAGCCTCTGGGGAGTAATAGAAATTGTCAAGAGTACTGAGTGCTGTGAAGGAGTCAGAGGACATCTACTTGGATGGGGCAGGGAAGCAAATTACATCATACCCTGCCGTTGCTTGAATGTGTTTAATAACTCAGGAGTACCTCTCCTCGTTATTGTAATGGATCAAGAAGGAATTAAATGGGAACTATTGTGTAAAGATTACATTGAGGATGAAGTCCCTCAACACTAAGATTCCCCCCCCAAAAAACAAAACATATATTCAATAATACAGAGCATGAATCTTGATATACAACTTGATGGATTTTTCACATGTGAGACTGAAGTCACATCACCATAGCAAGGGAGACATTTCAATTATTCCAGAAAGTCCTCTTATATCCCTTCTCCATTGATATCCTCTACCTTGTCTCACCCTGCCCCCCACCACTGTTTTCATGCTGCATGGACAGCTTCCCTTTTTAGGTTCTTTGGCTGGCCTAAAAATTAAATTGACATAAGACAGATTAACAGGAGAAAGTAAAGTTTACTTTTGTATACGGGTGTCCAAAGATTTGAAACCCGTGGCAAGTTGACCTTGAAGATTATATGCTATCCTGAGGTACGCAATGGGGTAGGGGTTTAGGACTTCAAAGAGGAGGAGGGTAACTCACAAAAGAAAACTGTAAAAACAGTTTAGTATTAATGTATTTGCCCTCCCATGAGGTAGATATTCAAATAAAAAGTTACCTCTGGTTAATAATGCTCATTCTGGGCCAGACCCCTATCTAAATTCTTTTAGGTAATTATGAGAGAGTTAAAAGATTTTCTTGAATCTGCTGGGTCTTGATTGCTCCAGCATAAAACATTCCACATGTCAAAGCGGCACATTCTCCTTTTCATTCCTGCCTTGGCGACTTCCTTGAGTTATACTTTCTGGAAGTTGAGTTGGTAGAGAGTTGCATCTCATTGCATAAATCTTAGTCCTGATAACAGGTCAATCCAGTTCAGAAGGCCATATCTCATGTTAAGAAGAGGTGAAACAGGAGAGCTTCCAAAGCTAAGCCTATATTGTACAAGTAATTGGGTATCTAATAAGAGACATTTCTTTGGAAACAAAAGAAAACAAAGGTTAATAGTTGGAACAGATTAAAAAATTTCCAAGGGTGTTTTAAAAATAATTAAGGGGGCCCTCCCTGGTGGCACAGCAGGTTAAAGTGCAGCACTAAGAAGATAAAGCATGAGTTTAACCCCGCCCCAAGGTGATCCCATATGGCACATAAGACCTCTCCTGACCTGCCTACTGTTCCCCTCAGTAGTGTCCTTCGATGATCTGCCTGTTCTGCTCCCCACTGTGTCTCTGAAGACACTCAACACCCCTGCACCTCTTATGCATAAATAAATAAATCCTTAAAAAAAATAAATAAAGGGCCCTCCCTAGTGGCGCAAAGGGTTAAAGTACAGCACTATGAAGCTGTCTGTAGCCACTGCAGCAGGAATTCGATCTCCTGCCATGGAAGTAACCCACGTGGTATGGCAGACCTATCCTGCCTTGCCCACTGCTCCCCTCAGCAGTGTATTCAGTTAGTCTGCCTTTTCTGCTCCCCACCCCATCTCTAGTGAATCTTCTCATCCCCAGCACCTCTGGCCTGTGTCCCAGTTCTTGTATGCATAAATAAATAAATCTTTAAAAAAAAAATAGTCGGAGCAGATTATAAACCGAGTTTGAGCCTTGAAGTTAGCTAGTTGAAGAGTACACGTGTCAGGATCAAAGGAGTGAAGGTAGGCAGGGCCACCTAACAGATTTTCCTGATTTACAATTTGAGCATCTTTGGTGAACTTTCTGAATGACCCAGACAACAACAGGCTTTGGAGATTGTTCACATATGAACTATGTGGTGGTGATTTCTCCCACTTTCATATAAATTATATAATTTTAGGTAGCTGCAGTGAAAGGGCAGTTTTAGTTCTCAGTGATTCCAAATCAGAGGGTGGGGGAACAGTAAGAATGTCAGTTTGAAGAGTCAAAGCCAATTATTGTAGGCTGACTAGAAGAACTCAGTACTTAGTCCAATTTAAAGAATTAAGAACTCAAAAAGTTCTAACCATGCTAGAATCTTGTACCTCTGAAGGTGTACTACTGAAACCTTTTTTCTCTGTCACCCCTATTTCTATCAAAGATAATTACAGTAACACTTATTTGGATACAGATTAAATCTAGTTTTATTGAATGAAGTTGGCCTGATTATTTGCTTAAGTGCAGCCAGAATAGTTATTGGCTACATGGAATCTCTTAATCTGCCTTGCTGGAACTTTTCATAGGAATGTCTCAGATTTGACTTTATTTATTTTAAATGTATTTTTAAAAATTAATGTATTTTCCTACTTAATGGTTAATTTTGGGATCAGATTAGATTTTTAAAAGCCCCTTGAGACCAGGAAGCCAGGTACAGATTTGCCGTCAGATTTAACTGCAGTACCTGCAATTTGGGTGAATTCCTTGCTGCTTGATGTCCTAGGGTTACACTTCTTTGGGTCTT